TCCCATTTCTTGATGTCATAGAAAGGCAGCATATTCTTCTCAATCATTTTAAGACCTTGAGTGTTGGTCCGGCCAGGGCCCGAACCCTCGACCTCCAGCACATCAGTCCAGCGCTCTATCAATTGAGCTAACCGGGAGGCGGTTGATTTCTTGTGCAGTTCTTTAAAGTTCGATTATAAATCGATCTTTGGGACTCTAAAACTCAGTAATATACGATAAAAGCAGGTTTTTAGCGGTCGCACGCGATGCTACTTATGTTATTTATGCTATTTGGAGAAGCGAAACTGAATGCGTACGCGATATCGATATCATGTGTTACTATGGAAATGCATTTTTCGGTCGCGTCGGTTGCGCGCAATTCGTTGGTGATTTGGCGATCTAGTTTAGTATCGATCTTTCATTTAGTTCATTTTGAGTAACATACGGACTATAAACATTTCAAATTTGATATTTTTAGCCAAGGAGAAGTTGAAAATGAGAAGTTAACGAGCGACCGGAAGAGGCTTGCGGTTTGGCTGAGGAACCCAATATGGCTCCTGTTGACAGATATATTTATAACTCGGGGTCAACTGGCAAAATTTTGAATAACAAATGATAATAACAAGTATAATTTTCGAATGCGTGTGCCCTAGATGAACGTGAATTTGTCTAGGATATCAGTATCTCAAGGTTGATGATTATTTGTTCATTGAAAATTATATTTTTGGCTTGAATGTGTAGTTGCTGGTTCCTCTTTTCCTTCCGCTGCTGCCTGTCCAATTCCCTCTGTTAGTTCTGCCGCTCCTCTTGGTGAGTAAATGTTTTGAAATGAAGAAAATATATGCTATTTTTTTATTTTACTTTCTGTATAACTTGGTTTATCAATGGGATAAATGGACTTTATCAAGAAAACTTATATTTATGTTTGTGTAACGATCCTGGTGCTGCAAAACACCAAAAAATTTAGAAAGTTATACCTTGTTGCTTTCACCTTTGTCGATGGGAATAGTTGTGATTTAGGTCTGGTCTTCTCATACAGGTCTCCCATTATTTAGGAGAGATGTTGAAAGGCAAATTCATTCACTTTATAACATATCAGGGCCCACCCTCCTGTTATAAAGTTGAGTTTCGTGACAAAATCTTTCATTTGGATTATTTCTTTTAAATGACAAGGAAGCATTGAAAAATTCCAAAAAAACTTACTATTGACTCTTTATCAGATTTTCAAGAAATGTTGCTGACATGTTAATAGTTAGCTTATACTATCAAATAATCCTCAGTAACCTATAGTTATGAGGACAAGTGACTTTTACTTCAAGTTTTACACCATTTCTTACTTATTTTGTCTTTTAAATTTATTTTTTTTAGGAAAGCCCTGAGATGTAATGATGAAGTTTATACTCTTCTGAGAATCCCATTTTATACTCTTCAAAATGAGATATAGTAGGTGTTACTGCTGTAAATTTTTGTGTAGATATTAATTCAAAACTAAGTGTGGACGATTGTTGCGTTTTTGACATGGGCGCTTATAATAATTCATAAAAGAAAATACTGTTTATTCTTTTGCTTTCAGATTTTCAGGAAATGTTGCTTATATGTTAATAATTATATTTTTTTATCAAATGATCCTCAGTAACCCATACTTATGAGGATATGTGACTTTTACCTCAAATGTTGCACAATTTCTCACTTATTTCATCTTTAAAATTTATTTCTTGAGGAAAGTTCTGGGTTTTAACAATGAAATTTATATTTTCCTGAAAAACCCACTTTATCCACTTCAAAATGGGATCTAGTGCGTGTTACTACTGTAAATATTTGTTGAGATGTAATTCAAAACTGAATATTGCGTTTTCTTTTATAAATTTCTTTTGAATGACATGGA